AAAAAAAAAAAAAAAAAAAAAAGGGGGGGGGGGGGGGGGAGTAAAGCATTTCGTTTTCCAGCACTGATATCATAGATCATCTTCTTCTTCAGTTATCTAATCTACAGAAAAAGAATTTTAAAAGTTAAAAACAATAAGTTGACAAATGTTTTTATAAAATTATCAAATCCTATAACATTTTTTTTTGCTAAAATTTTTTCTGTTCAATATAGTTTTTTTTTTGTTTATATTATTCAAAACTTTTGTTTTAACAAAATTTTTTGCACTGTTAATTGTTGATAAATTGAGAGTGCTAAAATTTTTTCTGAAAAATTTTATTGATTCTAATTGAGGGTAATTTTATTTGTTTTTAACAATTATTTTGACGTTTAACCATTCAATAAAAACATTTTTATTTCTTTGTTAAATTTATATGATTGGTGTAAAAAAAAAAGAAGGAACCAAAGTTCTGCTTAAAATAATATATCAAAAATAAGCATTATATAAGACAGTTTCACCACACCTCAGCTGAATGGCTGCACTGATTAACTGTTCAGATTGTCAGTTTTATAGTGACTGTTAGTGAGTATTTGAAACAATACGTTTTGTTTATAAGTGTATTAATAAACTACGAAAAATTTTTTTTTTATAAAATACAAATAAAAAAAAATATTTTTTTAAAACCAATTTATATTTTTCTGATACAATAAAATAATCTTCTTTTCGAAAAAAAACTCTCTTATACAGCTTTGTACTCCATTTTATTCATTCATCCAAAAATTTTTTTTTGGTTATAAGTTATTACAAGTTTCTTTCTTTCTTTTTTTTTTTTTTATTAAACTTTTACAACAATAATTTTTGTGATTGTCAATTAGTTAGTGTTTCAACTGTTTTTTTAACACTTTTGGAATCATTTTATTGTTTGATAATTCTGTTTTCATATATTTAACTTTTCTGTCAAACAAATACCTATAATAGCTGACAAAAAAATTTTCTGCTTGAAAAATTATGTTATCACTGTGGCTACTGGTGAGGTTACTGTTCTCTGTGGTATATTTGGTTGACTACAATTCAGTTAGCAGTGTGTGAATCAGTTGAATCAATGCAGCAACTGATTCAACTTTTTTGATGCTGTATTGAAGAAAAAATATGAAGAAAAAAAGAAAAAAAGAAAGAATTTAAAAGAAAATAAAAACTTGCAAAGTGATAACAGGAATCGTTATACAAATGCCAACCCACTTCACACAGCCGCGTAGCTAAAAGAAAAAAAACAGTAAAAAGAAACTTACTGAATAACGGCTTAAGCACCAAATTAAAGTTCTAATATTTTTGTACACTTTTTCCTCTCTTTTTTTTTTTTTTTCCTATATTCTGTTTATGGTTATTAGTGAATCAAAAAAAAAAAAAAAATTCGAAAGCGATCAAAGTATCGCAACGATAGTTTGTCGTTCAAACTGTCACTTACAACTGATACTGTAAACCGGGGTTTGAATATAACAATGGGTATATATCACTTAACGCTTACAGAAACGTTTTAGTTAAGTTTTTAGTTATTATTTAGTTTTATTTTTCAAGTATAATTTTGAGTTTTTTTTCTATCTAACGGGTTTTCTTCTTTTTTTTTTTTTTTTTTTTTTAAAGTAATCAAACTTACAAAAAAAAAAAAAAGAAACTTATTGACAGTAAAAATTTGTTGTTAGTTATAAATATAAATTACCTTTACTTTGAGCAATAGTTAATTTTAATAAAATCAAATAAAATAACCATAT